ATTTCCTCTTGGCCCTTGTGGTTGTTCCTATTTCCTTTTTTATGTTGATATAATTTGCAGTGAGTTCATTGTAGTTTCCCTGTAGTTTTTGGTAATTCTCACTGAGATCATTGAGCTTCCTGATAACCATTGCTTTGAACTCATTATCTGATAGTTGACTTGCCTCTTTTTCATTTAGCATTCTTTCTGAGGCTTCCTCCTTTTGTTTCATTTGGGTATTGTTTCTTCATCTTCCCATTGTTTGTGAGACTCTTCTTATCAGCCGCTTCTTCTTAAGTGGATCTGTTCTGACTCCCTGGGTTTATGATGTGAACTTCTACGGTAGAAGACCTGTGAGATTCGGTGGTGCAATCTCCTTAATCCCCTGAGTTCGCTGATCTTGGGCTGTCATTTATGTTGTCTCTCTGTGTGTCTTTGGGTTTGGGTCTTTCTTTGGTGGGTCCTTCCCTCCAATTGGTTAACTGAGGGTCACTGTCCACCACATCTTGTATTTTGATGTGCAGGTGTGGACAGGTTGTACTGAAGCTGGTTCTTCTGTCTGTACATGGTTTTGAGGTTTATCTCTTGCTCTTTTCAGTTTTTTTCTGGGTAATTTCTCCACCATTTAGTTGTATTTCCAGATTAGTCCTGGGTTGAGGTTATTGTGGCTTCCACTCCCTCCTTCATCTTCTTCCATTGTTATCTGTTGGTGGTTCCTTTGTTGGTGGATTTCCTCTCCCAGTGGGTATACTGGTATTTACTGCTCCCACCTACTCTTTCATGTGATCAGTTGGAGGGGGAAAGCAAAATGGTTTAAGACAGTGAGAGTGTATTCTATGGTATTTAAAGTACCAACCTGTAGAGAAGAGATAAAAATTCTTGGAATATGTATAATGTTAACAGTGATATTTCACCTGCCTAGCCACTATTTACAAAGGGTGGAAAAAGTTAAAACTCTTGTTAGTTGAGGGGAAGAATTGTGAGTTGGATCTCAAAAGCAGAGAGCTCATGGGAGGTCAGATTATGAGGTAAAGTGAGAGTAAAGGATAGAAAATAGGTGTAGTGCATGAGAGAATAGAGTTAACCACCACAGTAATAAAGTTCAGGAAACAGTGAAATGAGCTAAGATCCAAGAGAGGTACTGTGTAGTATTTACAATTGTATGGAACAGCAATTATTTACAATAGTAATGGAACAATGATCACATGACACATCTTATTCAGATCTGTGATCTGAATAACAAGAATAGGATGTACAGAACCTAGAGTAGTGTGCTATTGGAACACAAGTGAATTGAAAGATGGAAAATTAAAAATACACTATGAAAGAGAGAACAAGGGAAACCAGTCAAACAATGCAATTTAACATATGAAGCAAAGAAGACTAAACAGAAAGAAGAGAAATAAAAAATACTAATAAAATAGAAGATGTAAGAATAATGAAAAATAATAATAATACAATATACAATAACTTGCAAGTTCTCTGGAACAGCAAAGTGAAATTTGTCTTATTGTCTCATTTATGGGGATTACCCCTCTTTGGGTCTGACTCTGGTCCTTTCACAGCTCCAGGTTTTACAGTCTCACTTGTGGAAATATAAAAAAAATAATTAAAGGAAGAAGAAATGAAAGAAAGAAAGAAGAAAGGAAGGAAGGAAGAAAGGAAGGAAGGAAGGAGGGAAGGAGGGAGGGAAGGAGGGAGGGAGGGAGAGAAGGAAGGAAGAAAGAAAGAAAGAAAGAAAGGAAGGAAGGAAGGAAGGAAGGAAGGAAGAAAGAAGAAAGAAAGAAGAAAGAAAGAAAGAAAGAAAGAAAGAAAGAAAGAAAGAAAGAAAGAAAGAAAGAAAGAAAGAAAGAAAGAAAGAAAGAAAGAAAGAAAGAAAGAAAGAAAGAAAGAAAGAAAGAAAGAAAAATTTTTTTAAAAAGACCTTCTGCTGGCTTTAAACAAGCAGGCCAGTTCTGCTGGTCTTCCTGGCTGCAGCAGGCTGAGCAGATTTTGATTTTGCTTTTCTCCCATTTTGATCTGCACTCTTCGCAGTTGCCCAGCCTTCAGCCCAGTTCCTCAGTTCACTGCCTGGCCCCCAATGCCCTTCTGCGCCCATCCTATGCCTTCAGTCCATTGGTTGCACTGTCCTTGAGGTGTACCAATTAGGGGCAACTCACACACCACTTTCTCACTCTTCACTGTCCTAGGTGCCAGTGACTCTCAGAGTCTTTTCAGGGTAGTTCAGCCCCACACTGAGTTAAGTTTTTCTGGGGATTGCTAATCCCTGAGCCCTGCAGCTGTCCTCTGCCAGGGGTGTCTTCACCTTTTTATTAGAGTCAGTTGGCCCTGTAAAGTTGGGTTGCCACCGTGGCTGCTACAGCTACCATGGTGGATGTGGGCACACACCTCCTCTCTTGTTGCACCCTGGGCACTAGTGTTGGGCACAAGGTGCCTCCGGGCACTGGGGTCAGGTGCACTCTGTCCCCGGGGATGTGGGCATGAGCACTCAGCCTCTGCTGCCGTGGGAGCACAGGGGCTGTGGCTGGGAGGGTATAGGCCCTGGAGGCAGAGCAGCTGCTGCAGGAGAATTCCCCCAAAGGCCACTGAGTTCCTCTTTTTTTCCTTTTCTTTTTGAAAAATTCCTCCTATTCAAGCCTATTGCTCCAAACAAGTGCCTGGCCTCTCACACAGCTCGACTCTCCAACCAGATGGGACTGACGGGGTCAGGGTCCACTGTGGCCCAACTTCTCCCAGCCAGTGTCCACAGTCTCAGGGGGTTCACACTGCCCCTGTGTGTTTGCCACTTCATCCTTATTCCCTCCCTGAGACTTCAAGCATCCAGGTCCTTCCTGGTGCTTCTCAAACCTTGTTTGGCAGGGGCTGGGGGGAGCTGTTGACCTAGCTCTCTCCCAGAAATCCTGCAGCAGACCTGGAGGGTGCTGGGCCTGGGGCTGCAGTGGCCCTGGTCCCTGCACTGGACCCAGGGACCTTATTGTCCTGAAGTGCTCTCCTTACCATCTGATTTTTCAATGTCCTCTATTCTTTTTGGCCTCTGATCTTCATATATGTTGGGATACTGTTTGCTGTTCACTATGTTCCTCAGAAGATCGGCGAGGTGTTTCACCCATGCACAGGGGGAAGTGGACTCTGCTCCCACCTATCTCACCTCCATCTTCCCCTAAGTCTCTATTTTAGTTTTATTTAAAATCTCGTATTTTAGTCTTCCCTTCTCTTACTCCATTTTGCCTTTTTCCTTCCCTTTCTTATTTTCATTTTATTTACTTTTAGTAGTCATTTCCCTAATTTATTTCACATAAGTTTGGATTTTTGCATTTCATATTTAGTGTATAACAGCTTTATTGAGATATTATTCACATACCATATGATTCAACCATTTATTTTCTAATTTAATTTTTTATTGTTGTTGAAGTACACTTATTTCCATTTCCCCCCACCACAGCAAACACCAATTCCACCTGTAATCCTTCCTCCCTTTGACATTGCCCATGGGTCCTTACACATGTTCCTTGATGACCCTTCTCCTTGTCCTGCGTTATCTCCCTCCCCCTTTCATCTGGTTACTGTTAGTTTGTTCTTTATTTCAATGTATCTTGTTATATATTGCTTGCTTCTTTGTTTTGTCAATCAGATTCCACTTATATGTGAGATCATATGGTATTTGTCTTTCATTACCTGGCTTATTTCAAACAAGCACAGACTAATAAAGGTAGAAAAGGATAAGGATATTATTAAAAAGGGGAAAAGAATGTGAGATGACTAATGAAAAGTAAAATGGTTTTGAGAGGATATGTGGAGGATAAATAGTAAGAGTGAAGAGCAGTAACAAGTATTATGCTTACTTGCAATTTAAATTTTAATTTTCCCCTTTATTCCTTCTTACTATTCCTAAACAGCAGTCACTGGGCCAGAGGATGAAGACCTGAGGCACCTCTGTGGATGCAGGAATGGAGAGGAAAGGGCACCTGGACCTAAATGGGACCACTCAGGCCCCACACCAATGTCTCCTTCTAGGTGGCCCATCAACCAACAAGACTCCTGGTCCCCCTGTCCTCTCTTCTTTCTAGGGAGACTCTCAAGATGGGAGTTTTTTGAAGGGTGATCTGCTCTCTGTTGGGTCTCCCTTGGCTCATCCCACTGGAGAGGCCAGGGCTGTGTGCTCCTCTGAGCTCAAGTGCACAGGGACAGGGGTCTATGGAGTTTGTGTGCCTGTGTGGTTGGAGCAGTCTGAGCCCATGTGTAAATATAATTCTAGGGTTCAGATTTAGGGATTCTTTTTTGGCACACATCTAAGCCATGTGCCTTGATCCAGTATTTAGCAACAAGAAAGATGGTATTTTGATGTTCATCTGTCTAACTTTCTGTTAGTTGTTTTAAAACTATGTCAGGATACCTGGGGAGAGTTTACAAACAGAATTTGAGGTTTTTCTCTGTGACTTTCTTCCTTCTGGGATCCCCCCCCCGCCATAGTTGCCCTGGTTTCTTCCCTGGCTCTGCTGGTCAGAAAAAGAAGGCCTTTCTACCAAAGTTTAGGTCACTCACACAAGCCTGTGGCTGCTCTGAGTCAGGTGATAGTACACAAGAAATATCTTGTGCTACCTGCATGTCAGGTTCAATTTACCTCCAGTCACCCATGTTTGTTCACTTTCTGGGGTCTCAGACAGTTGTGCTCTGTATATTGTCCAGAGCTTCTAGATGTTTTTTGCAAACAACAGGTTTGGTAGGAGATCACATATATTAATCAGAAGCAGAACTCTCACCCATACTTGTAAGCAAAAAAGAACTGTCCACTCCCAGGTCCAACCCTGTTCTGGCTCCTGGAGATGCCAGTGGGTCCAGTACCCTGAGTCCCCTGCCCACCAAGCAGGAGAGATGTTGCTGTGCAGAGCATCAGAGGCACACCTATGTTTGGAGATACACAAACCAGGCTAGATACACTTTGTGCTTCTGTGCTCATGGGAGAACAAACATGCCTCCTTAGAGTGGGCTTATTTATAAACAATATTACAGAGTAAATAACATGCTTGCAGAAAAAAAGAAATTTATTCTAGAATTTCAGTTACAGTTCATATTAAAACCATCTATACATATGAGACATATAAGTTGTAGCTGAAAGCTTGAGATCGTTCGTTCTTTATCTATATTAAAGAAGCAGGTTGAGTTATGTTTGTTGAATCTGGTTTTTGTTTCAAGAGATTATGCAGCCAAATCTTTCAGAGGGATTTGGGTCACAGCCTTCTCTCTACCCCTTTCCTGCTTTAAATTCCCTGTGCATGTAATAAAGGAAGAAAGAGCAGCCAACTGGGTATAGTGGACAGTTCAGGTCATTTTTTTAAAAAATGCACAGTATTAATTACGTTCTTTTTATTTTAGCCCGAGGAAAGCCCATTAGCATTTCTTCTTCTCTTAAATATAATCTTCCTTTCTTTGTTTTTTTTTATTTATTGAATTTAGAGAGTGAGAGAAGAAAGGAGCAAGAAAGAGGGTAATTGATGTTCCACTTATGTATGTAAGCATTGGTTGATACTGATATGTGCCCTGACTGGAGCAATCAAACCTGCAATGATGGTGTATTGGGATGATGTTCAATCAGATTGAGCTAGTAGGCCGTTCTACTGGTGATGAATGCCCTCAACTCCTCAACTGGCATTTGCTTGGATAGATCTATTTCTCCTATAATTCTATAGGACAGCTTTGCTTCACTAACAGTTCTTTGCTTTCAATATTTTCCAATATCATTCACTCTCTCTTGACTTGCAAAGTATCCATTGTATTTGATAAATCACTTTTCTGTTGCTGCTTTCCAAACTGTCTTTAAATTTTGACAATTTAGCTCTAAGTGGTGTTAGGGCATCCCTTTTCAAGTTGAACCTATTAAGCTTTTGGGCTGAAAGAATATGGCTTTCTGTATCTCTCCCCAAATTTAGAAATTTTCAATCATTATTGCTTTAAATAGACTTTTTGTTCCTTTCTTTTTCTTATATGTTCCCTTGATCATGTCTCCTAAGTCCTGTGGGCAGTCTTTACTCTTTATCTTTCTCCTTTGCTCCTCTGACTAGATAATTTCAAATAACCTATCTTCGAGCTTACTGAATCTTTCTGAAGCTTAACTGAGTTTGTTTTTGAAGCTCTCTATTAAATTCTTAAGTGCAGTCATTGTCTTCTTTTTTAAAATATGTATGTATTTATGTATGTATATATGTATTTATTTATTTATTTATAGAGAGGGGGAAGGGAAGGAGAAGTAGGGGTAGAGAAACATCAATGTGTGGTTGTGTGTCCCCCACTGGGACCTGGCCTGCAACCCAGATATGTGCCCTGACTGGGAATCAAACCGGCAATCCTTTGCTTCACAGGGCTGTGCTCAATCCACTAAGCTACACCAGCCAGGGCTCATTGTCTTCTTTAGCTCTAAGATGTCTGTTTGTCCTTTGAATGGTTTTCTTTTTGTTGCCGAACTCCTAATTTTGCGTATGTACTCTTTTCTTTTTTAATTTTGTTGTCTGTGTGTTCTTGTTTTACTTCCTGAATAGCAAACACTTCTGTAAAATTCTTCTCAAATTTCTTCTCCAGGGTAATTCCCAGTAAAAACAAATCTTTGCACTGAAAACAACAAAAAAGATAATGACACTTATTATCATTGTCATTAGACATTTTGTGATTTGGAATGATTGCAACACTTGCCTAAAACACTTAAATTACGTTAACCAGGTTAAGATTAAAAACTCATGTGGCTAAGAGTAATTTTTGTGTCCTAAGTACACAATTATTTACTCTTAACTAGGCAGACATGGAAAATCATTACCATACTTGGAGATGCTTACTCATTTGGTATGGATTCTTTATCACTAAAGTAAAGTAAAGACTTGACAAATCTCGAGTCTTTGTAACAATAAAATATTACAGATGTCTGAGTACAATCAGTGATACTTCTTTCAAATTGTCACTTGTATTTCTCTCTGGTGACTTCTGTTAACTATACGGTTCATTTGCATACCAAGAAACCTGGAGTCTGAACTTTCTGAGAAGTTGGATTAATAATATTTGGGAGATGATAAGAAGCACAATATGACTTTAATAAGCACAAATAAGTACAATATGACCTTAGGACACAATGTTCTTCTCATTTTATTTGGAGTAGAGAGGACTCACTGTTTTCAGTGGGCACCTCTTACATTTGAAGAGAGGAATGAGCTCTCAGGGGTCTGAAATTTTGGTTGTAGGGAAACCTATGGGCTCACTGCTATGCTTTATCTTGAGTTTTAAAAGTCACTCACTTTTAGAAAACTTGCTTGTATAGGCTTGTTATAGGGTGAGATAAACTGTAAAATTTCCATACACCAAAAAATGAGGGCAGAGTGACTAAAATGAGGAAGAAATGAAATGGAAGCAGGAGAGACACTTACTTTATTAAATGCCTTGTGATTCTGAAAGATGAGGCGCATGTCCTTCATAAAGCTCTCCACTTTGGGGTAACATTGCTCGCGTAGCTTCCTTCCAATTTCTTTCAACATCTGAAGATTTTTCATGCATTCAAAAATCTCTGGTGTCTGTGAAAAAAACTATTATTGAGAGAGTTTCTGAGACAGTGCAATGTCTGCCTTCTGTGCATTCCTGCAAAATCCAGCCAAAATGCAAGGCAGTGATAACAGTAGCTCATGCTCTCACTCCCATGGGTTTCAGACCACAAATCCAACGAGCACACATGCCAAGGTCAGGTCATATCATAGTGACCTGTAATCATGATCATGATTTGCTATTATTACTCACATAATTATCTTGTGGCATCTTCTCAGAACAGTCATTGTCTGAATGGCAGTAGATCTCCAAGAGGAGGAACTCACATTTCTGCAATAGGAGGATTTGAATGAAAAGTAACTTTGAGTGAATGATCACGTCTGTATGTCCAGGCAGAGGCATGGCCACACTAGTTTTCTGGCAGTTTCCTCAAATAGATTGGGCTCTGAGAAACAGACATGTATTGGTGGAGCAATTTTTTCTGCAAACCCGTCCTAGCGAGACTTCAATGTCATTGAGACCTGGTAAGCAGCTTTTGGTGCTCCCTCTCACCTTTTGACTTCTCACATGTAAGTGGAAAAAAGAAGCTTTGAGGTTCAAATTCAACTCACCAGCTGCTCTTCAGGACCCATCTGCCTTGCCAGGACCTCAGATTCCTTGTGACACTGAAGATTTCCTGAAGACTCCTTTATCCTGCAGAAGGTGCAACTCCACGGCCTCCTGAGAGGTCTGGAATAAGTGAGTAAAGCAAAGTCTCAGAAACAGCCACCATTCCTATGGCTGCCACTGATCTCCTATTAGGAAAGGCTGATGGACATGGACTGAGAATGAAGGAGACACTCCCCAGACTCCCCAGAGTCCCTCCCATGTAGGGCCTGAGATAATGACCTTCCTTTCATCAAGGGTACCAACTGGGGGACAGTAGGTGCAGGGTGGTATCAAGGTAGTGGTGGGCTCTCCTTTCCCCACTTAAACTTCTGGGAGCACAAGGAATCTTGCCTACTGGGCCTGAGTGCTGGAGACTGGACCTTAACACCTAGGGGCCTAGGATCTCAATCAACCAACTGAAAACATGGCAAAAAGTTCATGTTGTTTGCCTTTTCTAAATAAGCACAGAACACAGACAGCTGGCTTTCCCACTTCCATAAACAGGGAGTCAATACTAGGAAAGTTCTAGAATGGAGAGTAGTAGTCTGTGGGCAAAAGACTCAGCCACCAGCCTCAGCCTCCCAGGTGAGAAAAAAGAGCATTCACTCCTGCCACCAGTCTTTCAACAGCTCCCAGGATCATATTGCTGGGCTTGTACATCTGGCCCATTCTGTCCCCCTCAGGACACAAGGAAACCCACCCCCCCACGGAGAGTGTACATGGCAGGAGGAGGGGCCCCTAAAGGTGAGGGGGACCTGCAGCTCACAAACCTCTCAGTCTGCACAGGTGGGAGGTGACAGTCCCCATGAAAGGATCTTGAACAAGTATCACAGCGGAGGAGGTTTTCTCCATCCCGGCAGATCACACATACACCTGGCTTTTCAAGCTAGAAGGTAAAACAATGTACCCATTCTGAATGCACAGGCTCTTGCAAACCTGGGAGAACAATTATGTGCTTCTGAGTGGAGATTTCAGAGGAAGAATTCTTTGTCTGCAGTGAAGGAGGGGCCTGTGTACCAGATCACACATGTTGTCCCTAAAACACAAGAGATTCTAACACAGAGAGACTCACAACTAAACAAGATGATTATTTTTATAAAAATATGAATTATTTATTAACTTACAGATAAACCAAATCCTGAAATAAGGTGTTAAATCCATTTGCCTACAACACAATGACTAAAACAATTCATAGAAAGGCGGTATATTGAGAAATTAATAAGATGGAGCAAACTTCTAAGAAAGCTTGTCATCCTGTTTTCTTGTTTGTCAACTCTCCATGAGTTGAAGGGCCTGGCAGGAATTTCTGGACTATGGTTTGTGGGCCTGGAGGGCCCCTGGACCTGTGACCGTGCCTCAGATTTGAAAAGACCCTGGCAAAGATGACCGGGTGATGTCATGAAGGGTGGAGCTCTTTGGCTCTAGAAGCCACAAAGAGATGCCCCATGACTCAGCTTGGTATGTAAATGTGGAGGCTCCCTCTCTGAACACCCAAGGAGTATGGCAACTGCCTTGTTTTGTAAACAGACTGGTGAGCCCCCCCATCCCACAATCAGTGAAACTGGATTTCTTACCAGTTCAATCTGTGGCCTTTAACCATTTATAATTTAATTTACAGAAGAGGATATTTGACAGTATTTACATTCAAGTCTTGTAGCATAACTCCTACTTATTAAACCCAGATAAATTTATAGAGAAAATATGAATATATACTGTGTTATATGTAAACACATGTATTCATAACAAGGAAATGGACTGTGACTGAGACCTTCGTTAGTGAAAAAAAAAACGTGGTGTAAGGACTAACATTAAAATCCAATGTCAAGTGTTGCTGTGACATCTGGTAACTCTGAGATGGCCTCAGACAACCTACCTGCATGTACCCCTCTTCACTCTGCTCTCCCAGACAAGGTCCCACAGATAAACAATGCTCCTAGTCCAGGGACCACCAGTAACCCTGCCTATCCTGGAATATCAGGTTTCAGTTCCCTGTCAGCCCTGGAATCTTTCACACAAGCCAGACACAACCTCCCATGGAAACCAGGGGACCACTCCTCACTGCCCAGCACCTGGTTGTCCACTTGGTTCCAGAGGGCAGCCTTGGTGAGGCCTGCAGGGGGGGCACTGCCTTCCTTCCTTGGTCTGGAAGTAGATGTGACTGATAAACACCTGTCCATCCATCTGTCCAGTGACAGATGCCATTACTTGCCATCCCCCAAACTGTCCATTCAACATCCCTCCATTATCAATGGGATAAAAAGGAGGCGATTAAAATAGGAAGCCAGTCATTGAAGGCACAGTAAGCCATGAATAGGGAACTCCAACTGTGAACACTGTGTGAAGCACTCTCTAACACCACCGAAACACAGGCCAGTTCAAAATAATGGGTGATCCTCAAAATTTCAGGTATGGAAATATTCAAGTACCTCAGAAAAAGAAAGAAGAGGGGTAAAAGAAAAATTTTAAGATAAATAAATCAAACATGAAGTCACATTTTATAAAAGGATATTCAGCATTTACATATGAGTCAGGGACTATTAAGAAGTATACCTGCCCTGGTTGCTTTCCTTGGTCTGCCTTGTGTTGAAATCCACACAGTTTGAGAGGCACATGGGGATAGTTCTATCCCAGACACAAATATCCTAACTCGTGGTATTGGAGAAACTCCTACCCTCTTGTGACTATCCGAGGTGACATAAATGAGAACGGCGGGCCACAGCCATTGATCGGTGCTGGGTGGGAGGGAAGTGGGTCATTGAGGAGCAGGAGGAAACAGGGATGACAGTGTCCAACCTTTTCTTCTATGAATATTTTTGATTACTCTAAACACAAGTGGTGTGCCATTGTTACTGTAAAACAGTCAGTAGGTATGCCAGGGAGCCTCCCACGTTGGCCAAGATGGTGTGAGTGGGAGGTTCTTACACTGAGCTTGGAAAAATTAGCTAGATAATTGGATAGAAAAAAGCCCTCTTCAGTCTCACCTATAACTGAAACCTAATCAGCAAAACAAACAAGCAAGCAAAATATAACCAGAGACAGTGAAATTAAAAACAGACTGACAATAACCAGAGGGGAAACGGGAGGGGATAATGAGGGGAAAACAGGGAAGAATTTTCAGGAACATGTATAAAGGACACATGGACAAAACCAAAAGGGGGTAGGATCAAGGGTGGGAAATAGGGATGGCTGTAGTAAGGGGGAGTCAGGGGGTGGGGGAGGAAGACAACTGTACTTGAAAAACAATAAAAAATGTGGAAAAGAAATAAAAGTTATTAAATAAAGTGCACAATAATACAAATAAAGAAAGCCCTTCACCCTGCACTTACCCCTAATCTTGTGCTATATTGAGAGTAGGACCAGGCAAAGGCAGACCCATGTGTCACAGAAGTTTAAATGGTGCAGCAGAAGGTGCTAGACCAAAGAGACAAGTCAGTCTCATCTGGGAAAAGATGATTTGGAATGAACCCACTCAAGGTGCATGAAAGTTTGGGGATTTGATTGGTCATTTTGAGAAAGCACCTGGTTGTCCCACACCGTAGCTAATGTAATCCCAGGGGACAAGTTCTCTCTCTCTTGCTCTTGATGTGCACTCACAGGTTGGACTTTCCTGTTCTCTCTGGCCTTAGCCACATTTCCTATGGCCTCCATGAAGGAGTCAGTCTCCCCCTTATTCTCTCTCCCTCTCTCTCTCTTTCTCTTTCTCTTCCCCACCTGGTGGTACACTCACCAGTGTGTTCGCACACTCTCCCCTAGAACTGCCTTACCAAGCAGCCCTAGTAGCCACACAACCCATGGCCATGTGGGCTCTACTCACAGGCTACAGATGGGAGAAGCTGGGAACATGCTAAACTGCTTGGATGGGGACTAAGACCACTGAGCAGCCACCTGAGGGTTCCAATGGAATGTACTTGAAAACAGAGCAGGTATTCTGGACACTGGCTTTTCTCTTGGCCTTGCTGATGACAGTTGGACTTTTTTTCAGGGAAGAAAGAGATGGTTGGTGAGAAAGGAGCCCGCCATTCTCCAAGGTCATGTAGCACCTGAAGAAATTCTGTGCCTTTATAAGTCAATGCTGAATTGGCCTGAAATCTGCCTCACGAATTTGGCCTTTGTAGCAACAGGTAGCTGAACCTCCATTTTTGTTCAGTTACTCCATCATTCTCCTGGGTTTACTTCATCAGCCTCAGTCCTCTATCTCTTTCCTTTCCAGTTCTTCTTTTCCTCCAACATTTTGAGAGAATCCTCCAAGTTTCCATCTTTGGCTATTTGGTCGGCCCTAGGTGATCAAATCTCACTGAAATCCACAGTTACATTGCTATGTTTGCAGCTCCCGAATGTCCAGCCTGTGTCCTGCCTTCCTGCATATCCCTGTGCTAACCCAGCATCTCCTCCCAGACCCTTAAACCACACCTTAAAATCATGCAGCCGAAACTTGTCCTAATACTCACTACATGTTCTTTCTTGGTGCTTCCATTTCATAAAACGTACAACATTGACCACAAGTCTGAGCATCCATCCTGGGTCTATTGTCCTACTTGTGTTCCAAATTCTATCTGTCTCTATGCCACGCAGTACTTTGTGAGCTTCTTTTGATTGTTCCACCACCCATGTAAGGTCCACTGCATGCAGAGATGCTGAGACCCTAGTGAGAATTTGTACCTTAATACATAAAGAAAAGTGGTTTGTTTTTCAAAGTCTATACTATATCTTGGTTGAGTACACAAAGATCAGAATATGCCTCTTGAAACAAATTGGCAGAGGAATTTGGATCATAGCTATGTCATCTCTCTCAGCGCAGAAAGGAATAAAAGATGAAAAGCCTCTAATAATTATTTTGAATCTTGTTCTTCACTTTTCAGTGAAAATTCTTGTGTTGGGCAAATTTAGATTCAAGTCATTGCTTCCGCTTTTAAAAATATTTATGCATGACAAAAATCAAGACCCAAGGACTATCTTGCCATAGCTCCTGTTCAATTTTCTGGGTGAATCTTGAATCACAATCACAAAGGGGGCTGAGACTGCTCCAGCATGGAGGCCTGGAGACAGACAGTTTCCTTCTCACTGTAGGGACTCACAGATTACCATCATTGTTCTCCAGGTCATGGTAACCCTCTTCCCAGAAGAACAAGGAAATAAAAACTGTAACCAATGCATAATAATGTTGCATCCTTAATCCTTAATCAACTTAAGGCCCATTTCTCTTTGGCTCTTTGTTTCTTATGCCAGCTGCACATATTAATTGCCTGAGGATAGTATATAAAATGCTAGCATTCTGGTTCCAATGTAAGAGATTCTGATCAACTAGTCTGGGTTGAGGCACAGGCATTGGTGTTCTTATTAACTTGTAGAATAAATAACTTGTGCAACAGAATCATCTAGAAATTTTAAACAATCATACTGTCCAAGTAATAGTTCAGACTGACTAAATAATATTTCACAGATCATAGGATTCAGACAATTTTTTTCAAAGTCTTCAGGGGATTCTAGTAGAGCCTAAGTGGAGTTTTGGAATGAACCAGTGAGATTAGTAATGCTTGAGGATATTATAAGTCAATGTTGAATTGGCCTGTAATATGTATCCCAGGAAAGATTATTGTTAACAGGAGTGAGGGTGCTCTTGCTGGAACAGTTGCCTTCTTCTCCCCGTGAACTCTTGTCCACTGGTAGTATGACTTGGGGTCCTGGGAACCAGGGAAGTGTCCTAGAGAAGATATCTATAACCTCTTGAAGCTCTTCTGGAACATCACACCAACAAAACATGAATCCAAGGTCTTTGGTACTATAATTTATCTTCCAGGAAGTCACCCTCCTCCCCATTCAACCAAATCCCAGGATGAAACCTGGCTGACTTCACAGGAAACTGCCTACTGTGCCCTACACTTGCATTGCTTGTGAACATTCAGTAGAATGACTTGGCCTTCTTCCATTGAGGCAGCCTCAGCTTTATCTCCAATGAGGGAAAAAAGGTCATAGACAAGTGTGATCCACTGAAAAGTGACCTGAGAAATGGTCATGTTGCTTCCTGCCTTTCTGGTATCCTAGAAACCCCTGTTTTCAATAGTTACTCTTCTATGGTTGACAAGGAAGTTGAAACAATCCTCGAGGTCAGGGATGTTATTTCAACCTTCTTTATGGACGTTGGGCATTTCCATCCACTCAGTAACTATATGTTGAATGAATAAATAAATGAGTACTGATTCACTTGGGGAAAGACATTACATGCTAGTTCTAAGTAAATATTGGTATATAATAAATTGTTGTTTCAGCTGAGTATACCAGATTATTTGACAACACAGCAGTTGTCACCAGAAGGTATAAGTGGTCTTCACTAGGAGATAGAAACCTCTCATGTGGTGTTGAGTGCCACACTGAAATTTACAGAAACTGGGGGTTCTATCAGCAAGAGAATTTAAGGGTGGCAAGAAGACCCACCAAGGTAGTAATACTTGTTCAGACTGGCCATTTTGACTCACTTCATGGGAAACTGTTTCTTGTTGCTGCAAAGTGTTGGACCCATGGATAAGAATAGAATATGTTGGTTGGAAGTTGCCAGCTCTGTTAGGTAATCCAGATAAATTAACTCTAGACACATGGAGAATGGTAGAGACAACGCTTTTCAAAGTAGCCATGGAATAAAGTATATTAAATATATGTTATCTTCTGTAAACCCATTGGAAGAAAAGTCCCAAAGGCTGATATCTAGTTCCAAACTTGCAGATCATCAGATAATGTAAAGGCCTGGATTTCAAATTCCAAATGTCAGATGAAATCCCAGTGGCCAGCTCTGTGTAAGCTAACATAGAATTCTGTGAACATCCTGGGTTGCCATTTCTACCTGAAGTGTGGGAGAATGGCACCTCTCACCTTCCCCTTCTTCTAATGTTCTCATTCATACCCAATCTTGAAAACACTACCACTTTGTCCTGAATCTATACTGCACATTATGTATTCATTCGTTGCCTCCACAGCCTTCTTCCACAGAGGGAGAAACCACTTTCACAAAGGTGAAGCCAACAGGGGACATCAAAGGGAACAATTTTCTATGTCAGCCCCACACCTAAGCTACATCCACCTCCCAAGAACTCCTTCCCCAACAGCACCATTCTTATAAATGACAAGCAGTTGCCAACTGATGAAGAGTTCTGTGTGAATGTTTTATTGAGTAATGGTGGAGAGTGTAAAAAAGTAAGAATGAATTCTGGTATTGAGTTGAAGATGACCCTGTGACCTTATTAAGAATTGTTTTTATGTATTCAATATTTTGACACCCATACAATATTTTTAACTACAACTCTTCTATGAGTTTATTTTGATGGGTCCTTATTATTTGAACATCAAATGGTTTAGCATTCACAGGTAACCTTACATACACTAATGTTCAGTGGAGCAGCTATGAAGAGTGCAAAATAAATAAATGAAATGAAATAAAGTTAATGGAGATAAAATGAAACAAGGATAATCACACAATTGAGAAACCATAAAAAATATGCAGCACATATAAAATTGGTTATGCAATAAGAACTAGTATAAAAGGATAATCACCTTTTTTTTCCTGCCATATTTTCTTGGTGGTATAGGTAGCTTTTCTTCCTGAAAGATAAGAAGATCCAAGTATATGCTTAGCCTGTGTTAATGTTTGTGAATATGATATTAACCTCCTTGTAAATATTTCTTTTAGACATCACATTATCAGCTCAAAGGGAAACAATCTCTCTCTCTTCACCTGTATTTATTCTTGAAGTCATCCATGGAACCCAGAAACTCATACACAGAACCTGTTTCCTTGCTTTGTGCTTTTTTCACTAAGTTTTCAGAGATTTTCCCTCACAGTCTCTCTGACACGTCTCCCCTCCTTTCCATTCCCACCAATGATACTGAGACCTGCCTCCTCACCCCAGGGCTAGTCAACCAACACTCATGTGTCCCCACCCACAGAGCGTCAGACACTCTGGATAATGCTGGGCACATAAAGAAGGACAAACCCCAGAAGGGTCTAGGGAGACAAAAGAAATGCATGGAAGGATAAGAATAAGACAGTGTGAGAAGGGCCTCAGTAGTGAGTCCAGGAGGCCCATGAAAGGGATGACCAGGACGGCTCAGTCAGGGAACACTCATACAGGAGCTCATACAGGAGACATTGGAGCTGAAACTTGTAGGTCAGTGAAGTTGGTTCACATCCCCACATTGTCTAAGATACTCTTTTAAATATGTCATGTCACACCTCAGGAGACTCCCTGGTTTTGCACTGTCCATGTTATGAGTTTAAAATCCTTATCCTGGCATTATGTCCCTCAGCAAAAAAAAAAAAAACCCGCAAAACAATTTATAGATTATGCTGTATTACACACAATTCATCTACCTCATCCCATGGGCCTAGTTAATAGTGGTTCTGGTTTCTATTCCATTCTTTCTCTGGAGTGACTTCTGCAGATGATCGTCTCTCTTCCAGTGCCTAAAATTGTCTGCAAGCACCAGGATCAGAACAACCTATCCCTCCTCAAGCTCCTAAACCTACCTGGAAGGAGCCCCTTTGACAAACTGATATGCTGCCTTGTACTGAGGTGTGAGGGTCAGGCAACTGTCTCTTAGGAAAGCATGAAGTCAGAGGCCCTGGGGCTCTAGAGATAACTCAACATATATTGGGTAATCAATCAGTGACCTTATGTTCAACCACAGCAAGGAATGTCACACCTCCCGCCCCTCACTGAAATACCTCCATCAGCCGTTTTAGGGTTTTCCCTCCACAGCGCACAGTGTTCTTCCAATTACTTGAACTTTTATAGCCCCCTGCAGCTTCAAATTCCTGGAGGGTGAACCAACGTCCATCCTCTGTCTTTATGCACTTCACCGTGGATCCTGTAAGACCAGGACAAGTTGATTCCTGGCACCTCTTTGTCCTCAGAGCTCAGACACTGGCCTCCCACCACCCTGGATCAGAAGTTACCCAATTTGGGCTCAGGATCAATATTAGGAGAGTCTGACCTTCCCTTTCATACATCAGAATTCCCAAAACCCATCTACATATCCCCTTCAAGATTTCCTGTTTTGTGTACACATATCTTTGACCTTTATGAGACAACAAAAACAAAAAGTGATTATTAGCATCTGCTCAACATTATATAAGTATTACAAAATCACCTACAAGGAAAAAAAATATGGCTTTGCACAACAAGACAATTTCAACTTGCTATTGAATTCTGGAGGCAGAAAACAGGCCAGACTCTCTGATGGCCCTCGGACAGTGTGGAGGCAGAACCTCACCATGGGCTGAGACCTCAGGTGGGCTGCTCAGAATGGCACCAGGGCAACATCTGTGCCCTCCATTACAGCAGCTTCCATCTAAGTTTAATGGCATTACTGAGCAGTGATTTTCCATCCCTGAAATCATAGGTAGCTAGCATTAAATAACTGGGAAATAGTATTCAGTGGAAAATTTAAGTTATACATAATAGACAGTCATAGTAACATTAATCATTAGAAAAAGGAAAGTCAAATCCACACTGAGATACTACATTATAAGCACTGGGATGGTCATAATGAGAAAGACAGACAATAGTAAGTATTGGTGAGAATGTAGAGGAATTGGAGCCCCAAGACTTTGCCAGTGGGAACATAACCTGGTGCAATACTGTGCACCAGTTTAGTTTTTCCCCAATAAGTTCAACACTAAGTATATATCCAAAATTTTTTTAAAATATGCTCTCACAATCACTTTACATGAATGTTCAAAACAGCACTTTTCATATAGCCAAAGAGTGAAATCTCCAACAAATGGATAAATAAACAAAATATGGCACATCCAGACCATGCAATGTTATGTTATTTGGCATCAAGAAGGAAGAAATATAATGCATGTTACTACATGGGTGAACGATGAAAACATTATGCTGTGTGAAAGAACCAGTTACAGAAAGGCACATGTCATATGAGCTAATTGATAAGAAATGTTTAGATAAGCCAGTTTATAGGCCAGAAAATAGATGATCGGTTGCTTAGGTTTGGGCAGTGGGGTGAGGTAGAAGTTGCCATTAACTACAGAGAAGCATGAGTTTTGCTTTAGTTTTGCTGGGGGACAAAATGTTCTAAAATCAGATTGTGATGGTGGTTGCATAATATTTTCAACATACAGAAGATAGAAGCAAACAAAAACCCAACCATGAATTCTACACCCTAAGTGGGGAACTGCACTATATGTGAGTTATATCTCACTAAAGCTGTTTAAAGAACTAGTTATGATACAATTGTATTAGTTGGTTTTCACTATCCAGTTTAAGAGAAACCCGATATGAAGCTCATCATAGTAGACAATTATTGAAAAGCTTTATAATATTAAAATCACAAAGCACTTTATATTCATTATATAAACTAACTCTCAAAAGTCACAGCAGGAGGCAGGTTTGTAATGATTACCCATTTCTTAGATGGGAAGTTTCAGGCTCAGGAGGGTCCCAGTCTTCACATTGTCACTCTCAGCAGAGCTGAGGCTGGGATCAGGTTTTCTGATTCTAAACTCTGTGGTCTCCTCACTGCATCTAACACCCTGTCCTGGTGGTGATTACCCAGATGGGACACAGGATGTGAACATGGAGGCTGAGGGCCTCTACCCTGTTATATCTGATTCAAAGTGAAAAATGCAGTATTTTCTACCCATAGACTGATGATCCTGCATTTTTCTTTGATTCTTTGGGCATCCTCATGGACACATACACGTGGGGGTGAGCACTTAATATGCGCCACTGCTTATGGTGTAAAACTATCATCTGAGGGATCCCTTCCTTCTTTCAAGCCACAGTGAGGCCTTCAATTTGACTGGAAATTCACATGGGTAATTCCATTAATTCTTGTGATTCCTTTATAAAAGTATTACAAATTAAAGTACACCATTAAACACACCTTCTTCCAACTTATTCTTATATAGCATGCCTTTCATCTCTCCACAGGTCATGGGAAGTATTTCAGAGTGAAAATCTACATATTCTTCTTGGTGCTTTTTTGACCCTGAAAGAGAAGTTTTTCATTCTGTTTCATTTCACAATTGGACATGTACAACTTTCTCCCATGTCGAGGTCATTTCTATAAAGTCATAAGAGTACTTAGAAAACTTTATTCCATAAATTTCCAGTTTCAGAGTCTTTCAGTCGTATTTTTGATACATAACCACAGAATATCTACCTTCATTACACCTCTCAAACCCCCCCACCCCCGCCAAATCAGAACGCTTTAGCAGAGACACCAGGCATTAGTATAACTGTCTTAGCTCCCCATGTAGTCAGACCCCTTGCTCTTAAGTAATGGTGACACATACAGCTGCTGCCCTGGCAGAGATGTTTCACTCTCAGTAGGCTGCTCTGCATTCTCTTTCTTCCTTGACATGTAGCTTTATGGATTTGTGATTGGATCTGTTATTGTAGTAAATATTAGCTGTACTTCTTTCCCAAGGTGGTCTTATAAATCTGGCATTGAGAAGGCAGCTGTGTCACTTGGCTGCTTCCCAGAATGACTTCATGAAATAGAGCCCTCCTCTCCCCTTTAAACTGTATTGTGTTCCAGTCATTGACTTCTTTGGGTTCATTTGTCAGAGCCATTAGCCTAATTAACACAAAAGTAGAATACAAACTATCTTAAATTATTGCAAATTTGAATTTTACTATAAAGGATAGAGCAAAAAAAGTAGAAGTGATCTTTTGTAGAAAAACTGTTCATTTTGTAATCTTAAACATTTCTTTTTTTTTGTAAAAAAACATTTGTTTTTTTTATTGTTGTTCAAGTACAATTATTTCCATTTTCCCTTCAAGACTACATCCTACCCCTCATGTATCCATGTATCCTTTATATATGTTCTTGAAAACCTCACCTCCTTCCCCCCTCTACTATCCCTCTCACCTCTCCTCTGGTTATTGTCAGTTTGTTCTTCATTTCAGTCTCCGGTTTTATTTTGCTTGCTTGTTTGTTATGTTGATTAGGTTCCACTTATACGTGAGATCATATGGTATTTGTCTTTCACAGCCTGGCTAAGTGAAATAAACCATGAACATTTCTCATTTGCTCTTACCTCTTTTGCAATGTATGTTTCCAGATGTAGGTGGCTTTTTAAAGTTCATAGACTCTACCAAGTAAAAGGGAGAAAACAGTTATTTGTTTGCATCAGTCTTACAAACTCTATGACAACTCACACAACAGATAGGGTTTGTGATCATCTCAATGCAGAAATGAGCATTTTCCTCTTTGCTACAACTGAACCCAGTTCTGGTGCTCAGGGTCAAACTGCTGGGATCCTGCCCTGCTCTCCTGTTTGCTCTCCATGTGAGTTTGTAAATGACCTTCAATCATTACTCTCTCCAGGGTCCTCATCTATAATGCTGGGATAACCTAGGCACCCTATTTCCCTGTTAAGGTTTTTGTGAAAACAAAATGAGCCTTTATTTACAAAAGCCCTGTGAAAATCAAAATGAAAACCAATAGTTGAAATATCATTTGGATTTAAGATGTTGGTCTGAGCCAATTTTTTCATTAATAATTCAATATCAGCACCAATTATTCTTTGAAAATATTTTAAGTTTGGTACTAATGGTAATATTGTACACAAATACAGAAATACTGTGCTCCTATTCTCTGTGAAACACAAAGCATGTTTGTAGAGACTAAGTATATTATCAGCATTAATGGGTCTTTAGCATTAATAGATATGAATGACGGTGTATAGTAAGACTGCCATTTACTAGTGTAGTGTATTATTACTACATTTTTAATATATCAATTGATTGGGCTCATCTAATTAAATCACAGTTTATAATGCCTCTTGCTTAGCCCTATTTTCCAATAGAGTCAAGGAAGTTCCATGCTCGAAATGGTGTCCCACAAGTAATCAATCAATGTATATGGAGAATGTCAGAGTAAGATTCATCAGGAATACAGAGCTCTGGATTTAGACTCTGGATTTCTATTGCCCGGAAATAGAATCTTAGTCTTCCCATCTGGTGCAATTCAGAATCCTGAACTAGTGGGTTCTTGGATCTCTCTTCCTTTCAAGGTTATCCCTGCACAAGAGAATGGGACATTTCAGGTGTCTCAGTGTATGACCAAAGCACCAATTAAGCATGAAATTCCCTAATAAAACTTGGAAACATCTTGCTTGAAAATCCATGTATATCATGGCCTGCACATAGTCCACCTGGTCTGCACGCTAAATCACCTGCCTTTTAGGTTAGTGATGCTCCATTTACTGTCCCTATATGAACCTTCAGTATATCCATTCTCTGTAATGTCAGAGACCAGTCACTGACAAGGGGCTTCCCTGCTCTATTTGAGTCTTACCTTCCTACACTTGTCTCTCTTCTACCTCTTACCCCTTGTATTGTCATTTCAATATGTCAACAGCTCTTAACTCTGTAGCTCTCAGTTCAGGTTCCTACAGCCTACATCTTGATCTCCAACTTCCTTAGCAGGTTTTATTTTCAGTGCTGAGGTGGAGGCCTGGCGGGGGGGGGGGGGCTTGTCTCCATCCTCAAATTCTGTGGCGGCCTCACTGATGACCACCACACAGAGGAGCAAACTCCCTAGAATTTCAGGGTGGCATCAAGGAGCCCACAGATAGGAAACACCCTTAAAGACAGCACTAGGAGGACCTAAAAGCTGACTGAGATTACTATGGTCTGGGCCTAAATGTGTGTGGCCTACAGGTTGCTCCAGGTCCTACACAGAAGGTACGAGATTTGAACACAGAGGGCAGCTGTGCCCATCCTGCAGCTTTTCTTACCCCACAGTCACCGTGTCTCCCACCTTTATTCTCACTCTACCTCTCATCCCCACCCCCATTCTACTTCTTTCCTTTACTCACTTTCTATTACTTCCGACTTCATTCTACCTTTCATTTTTTATTATTTGAACAAAACTAAATATCTATTAAAAAGAAATATACACAAAGCCTAATTTTAAATATGGAATCAAATTATATATTTTTAATATTATTTGTTATTTTTATTGAATTTATTAGGGTGATGTTGTTTCACAAATCTGTACCTGTTTCAAGTCTACACATCAATAAAACATCATCTGAACACTGCATTGTGCACCATGACCCCAAGCAAAGTCTCTTTCTTCACTTTCCTTTTGGTTCGGCCCAATTTTGCTAATTGTGCCTGTTTCAGGTGAAGGAGAAAGTATCTCTTTATATCTCTCCTTGTCTTCATGTTTAGTTTTTTTCTATTCTTTTTCATGACTATCTTGACTCTCTGAATTATTTCCCTTTTTTTAACTCTTATCCCAATACCTTCCTCTCTCTAAAATCAGAAATATACTCTCTGATATCAACACATAACATTACCTCTTCTGTTTTAGATATTTTTCCAATTACTGGGGATAATTTTCTGCTAAAATTGCTGCATAAGGCTCTGGTGTCCTCCCCTTCCTACCTGTAAACCAGGCCAGCAGGACTGGCTCCGCGGGCCCTATGACATGTCCCAGATACCTGTCTGGTACTGACATGAACATCACACATTTTTTCAGTTAGCCTTGCCTATTATGTCAAATGCCTGGTTACAGTCAGTCCATGCTTGGGTTTCCCATTTGCCTCCTGAATTAAAAAATGACTTTTCCTTCATTATAACCATGGGATTTACACAGCAAGAATTGATTCGATTTCCATGGTGGGGTAGCTCTGTTCTGGACCAAATTATAATTAATGAAGAATTTCATTTGTTTCCCCAAAGGGAGTGAGGATCTTTACTACAATTAAGCCCTTCTCCCAGGAATCCCACTGCAGGGAAAGCTCCCTAACCCTTGTCTTCCCTGTTGCTCAGCTGTGTTCTTCTTTTAACTCTGGGTTTTTTATTTTTACTTTTGTCTCTACTTTTCAGAGGATAAGCCTATTTTAATCTGAGAGGGCTTCTGGTCCATTTTCATCACTGTGGACAATTACCTTTCAATGGCATTAAGAATAGCCCTTTGTGCCTTCTATGTGGTGACTGTCTCCTCCAATCAGACAATACTTGGTCCTCTCTCTTTCTACCTGGTCCACTCTCTACCATTTTTTCACTCATTGTCCTTGACATATTCTTGACAAAGTTCTCTTGGTGTTTCCCCATTTTTCTACTTATTGATATTTATTTCTGTGTGTCTTTTTCTATTCATACTTATTTCTCTACACTTATTATATCACTGTGCACCAGGGCCCAGCAGTGTCCAGGGTGAAGCAAAGTAGTTGTCTACAGCACAGGAGGTGCTGACAGTGAGATCCTCTTCACAGGCCTTTGGGTTCCTGCCTCACCCTAGACCTGACCTTGCTGTACCCTATGTGAACCTTCAGCTTATCTATTCTCTATAATGTTTCCTACTTGCTCCTATTTCATTTCTTAATTGTTTTTGTGACCTGTGAATGCCCCTTCTATATCATTTTTGTCTTTATATTTTCTCGATCTTAAATATACTCATCATTACTGGAGTTATACTCTTGTGACTGTGTCCACCACACTGAGTCTCTCCACTTGCCCATTCCCCTCCACACTCATCCAACCCAGACACTCAGTCTTTCCTGCTGGGTCAGACTGTTGGGCACATTGTTCATTTGCTTGTTGACTTTCTAGTGCATCATTATTGTCAGTGGTTGTATCAACTATAGCATTTATCTCTTCTGTTTCAGAGACTTGCTCTGAGAGTCTATTATCAGATGTGGCTGTACCTAAACCTCATTTGATTCCTAGATATTTAATTTGCTTCCTGCATCAATCAGGGTCCAGCAGGAAGATACCATAAGAAGCTGTCTAAACCTTAAAGCAGAGGGAATTTAGTCCAGATGATTAGTTATACAGCTGATGGGAGAGCTGAGAAGCCCAAATGGAAGAATGTGGCTGCTCTCAAAATGGTCAAGAGGAAGGTATGTGAAGGAATAAGGGTGAGGTCTGTGCCAAGGTCATATCTTAAGGCCACTGGGTAGGGACAGGCTGGATTGTGGTTGGTCTGCTTGGTGGGAAGTGGTGTCATGGGGGACATGTAGCTACTGCCAGGGTTGAGGCGCAAGAAAGTGACAGCATGATTTCCTGGTGCTCCCTTGCTTCCACTCTCTAGCCTCTAGCTGGTATCTACTAGGTTAGGAACTCAGCAGGATGCAGTGCATGGGCGCTGGCAAGCAAGTTAGCAAGGGTCTGTGGCCAGAGTTATAGGGAAGAGCAGAGAAGAAAAAGATAAGGAATGAATCTCTGAGTAAACCACCTAGGACCTGCACACCCTTATCTCCACATTGAAGCTTCTCTGCTTGATATCAATATTGTCAACCCATCCCACTCTGTTCCCACCAACCCCAATAGTATATGAATGCATAAACATGCTTTTCATGCAGCTTGACTTTTTTCACTTAGTGCTATTTTTCTAAGCAAAGTAATTTATGTAAAGTAGAATTTACAAAATTAACTCCCACAACTTTAATATAGATCTTGGGCCCTGGTGAATTCTTATGCGCTATCCATAATTCCTTGGAGCCGCCTCGTGGAAAGAGGAGCACGAAACACAGCATCTTCCACTCCTGTGCTTGCCACAGTCAATCATCCTGGATGAGTCAGACTCTTGGACACGTTTATTGGTGGTTTGTTTGCAATATTTGGGTTATAATGTCATTGCTTCCTCCCCACCACAGCCCCCTACACACACACACACACACACACACACACACACACACACACACACACACGGTGAAACCTTTTTCTGCCCATTACCCATCACTGTTCCTTCCTCTCACCCCTCTGTGCCCACCAGCTCACTGGTAGATGAAGTACTAAGAATATGATTGATGCATGTTGGATGTTTTATATTCTTAAATATTAACTTTTTGAGTAAATGCGATTTGCAAAAAGTTTCATGGGGCTCTCAAAAATCATTCTGAAAAGATTTTTAAGTAAATATGTATTACTAATTTAGAACATGCTTTCTTCAATAACACATCCCTGTGGAGGCTACATAATATGCCTTCCAGGGTGTTTTAGAGCAGTGCCAGACCTGTGGCCCCAGAGATGATGGGAGAGGGTCTGCATAGGAGGGACATGGTCTTAATGGTCCTGTGTGAGGAACCCAACAGGTGAGAGTCCCTGGTCCAGGAGGAGGAAAATCATCACCCCTATCCCATTCCTCTCACTGCAGTGCTGGCCACCACCGGATATGATGTTGAAGCAGGGCTACAGCCAGTGTTAAGACACTGAGACAGAGGCAGATGACTGTGAAACCAAGCGCATGTTCAGTAAGTCAGGCTCAGGATGGCAGGAGGTGGCACCACATACATTTAAGGAATGTGATAGGTCCGAGCTTTCCAGCAACCAGGATAGTGAAGACTCTTTTATCTAAATCTTTGGGGAAACTGCAGAAGCAAAGAATGACTATTCTGCACAATCAGCACTGAAAAGAATCAGCCCTCCACCCCTGCTCCCAACAGCACATTCCAGAATAAGGCAAGAGCAAATGATCATAAAACAGTTACTAGAAACACACCATTGTGATTCCAGGGCAGACTTAGATATGAGTTTTCACCAGGTCCTGGGGAAAGAAAATAGAAATTTATTTCAGAAATTGAGTTACAGGCTGTGCTGCTCTCCTTAGTCCCATGTAAATCTTTACAAGGTTTGATGACCCCCTCCTCCAAATATCAATATAGATCCCACCTGAACCTGGGGGTTCCCCTATGACATCTGCTACACTGCTGGCCTCAGCCAGGCCATCTTACTGAGATTGCTCACAGGCCACTCAGTAAGTGCAGATGGCCTTTCATTTCACTCAAAGCCACACTGAACTTTTTTTTTAGAGCAGCCTTTGACTGGTGGCCTTACCTTACTTCCTACAAAACTCGTCTCATTCCCATGTCCATTCACACCACACCCCCTTCCCTCTGCATGTCTGTTTCTCTGCCTTGTTGGCCTTTGCATGAAATTCAGTATCTGATTCTCCTGCACTTACACCAGTTCCTGGTAGGTTTCTTTCTGTATGCTTCTGTCTCCATATATTTCCCTATTTTTGTCTCAGGATTCTGTTTTTTCCATGAGACTATCTGGTGTGCACAGGGTTAGGAACACAGGCCCTAGGTTCAGAATATCTGGGTTCATTTTGCATGTCTGATCCCAAGCCAACTACATATATGGACGATCTAAATTTCAGTCTCCCTTTCTGTGAATGGGCAAATAGTGATATTTCCACCCCAGGGCAGATGCAAGCACTAAGCACACAACTGCCTGAGGAAATATTCAGTAAGTGAGCTCTTAGTAATACGGTTGTTTTTATTGTGTCATTAACCCATCTCGTATTTCATTTCCCTTCCTTCTCTCTCTCAAAGTACAACCATCCCTCCTCCAAATCTTACCACTTCTCCTCTCCTCTCCCCATGTTGCCTATCTCCCTGAATATTCCTGCTCTTGAACTGCATCCCCTATATTTAAATAAGTCCTGCCTTCTGTCATCACCAAAAATCTCCTATTTGATGTTGACTCTGTGCCCACAGTCTTAGCCCTTTACAGCTTCATATTGATCTTCTCCTACAAGGTCTTTCTAAATCACAATTACTTCCAGGTCAGCATTCTCATTAAATATGGTTTTCTGACTCACTGGGTTCCTGTTCCTTTGTCTTGGTTATGGAGCTCATGGTCTCTTATCATAGCTACTTATCCAGGATTGACCTCTGGGCTAATGCTCATATATATACCCCCCACTGCCTTCTTCAGGCTCCTTAGCACTTCTCTCCCAACTCCCAAACTTTACTCTGGCCTCAGTGCCCACCTCTTGACATGGATCCTGGCCTGCAGGATCCATGTATGTTGAGGCTGCTTGTGAATAAAGACAGACTACAGAAATCCTGTGGGAAAAAAGGGACAGCACGGCTGTTCTCTAAGTGAGAGAGAGGGTCTTGACCCCTCCTGGACAGGCTTTTATTGTTTTCCTGAATACATTACATGGAGGGTAGTCCTTGTTTACTATGCACAGGTTCGCATTAGGTGGTTACCTTTTACAGACAACAAAGGAGAAGATGTTTCTAATGCATCAAAGAAGAAGGGTATTTGCAAATGTGAAAAGGAAGGTGGTTGGACTAGTAACACTCCATACTTGGGAGGTTTAGCTTAGATTTTCGGAAGTTGCAGTAAGCCTTTCTGCCTCAATTCAGGATGAGGGAGTTTTTGCAAAAGCAAGCCTCAAAGCAGCCTAGGTACAATGCAGGCTGATTCCCCACAGGAAAACCTCTCCACAGGCATGTTCCTGTGTGCCAACTTGCTCCCCACTGGTTTGCCACGTGGGTGCTGAGCTACATTTCCATGCCATGCAAAACTGTTCCCTACAACCTCTCTTTCTCCTTTCCTCTTAGCAGATGAGAATCCGTTTTTATCTGGTTGCAATCACCTTGTCCGAGGCTTAGTTGGATATCGGATCTCCCCTCATTTTCTTCTACATCACTTTCCAGGAAATTTTTTATGTTTGGTATCTCTGAGAGAAGGCAACAGAAGACAATTAGAGATCTCCATCCAGAATAGTGACATCACCTCAAATTACACGTTTAACAATTTCCACATGTGTTGTGGAGAATGTGCTAATAAAACCTTTTCTCCTTCTTTAAAAGGAAATTTGTCTTTGGGTTAATTTTCTTGCTCATTACTCTGGAAGCCTGATGAAGGTGGCTTCCCTCTGTGTTACTAGGCAACACTGGGTTTAGGGTGAAAAATGAGCAGTGACAGTATGTAGGTAAATTCCATGTGACCTGGGAGGGACTAGGGACTAGATATGAACTCTAAGCCATATTTGGTCTTTCTCCAATGTGGTGACTCTTGTAAGTTGGCTTTTTCCTTAAGGGGTCTCTGAAAGTTATGATCATAGAGTTGTTTCACAAGATCTTTTCTCCCATGGGCATGGTGTGGCTAGAACATGGTGGATCCCACACTCATAGCTAAGCTGTCACTTGAAGCAGGTAGTACTTGACTTGGTGGACCTCTATTAGGGGTCCCACAGAAGAGCAGCAACTGAAGCCACACTTTAGGGATGTTATACTTATTGTCATTTGTTATTCTAAATAAATCTGATGCCATCGTGTCTCCACATGTCCTGTGAGTCTAAATGCCTAGTTAAGCAGACCTCCTGGTGGGTGTTATACTGTAGCCATTACATCATAAGCTATGGGAGACTCATGACATGTCTGTTTTCTGAACTGCTGTAGCCCCACTGCCCAGCATGGTGTTTGGCACATGGTAGGAACTCAATATATACTTGTGGGAAAATATTGGCCCTGAACATTAAAAAGTCAGTAATAAACCTAATTACCTTTTTGGAAGATTTTGTAAATGTAATTTAAACCAGGATATTTCTTCACAATGAACTTGCTGAACAAAGTATCCAGAAGGGGCAAGTCAAATATCTTCTCCAGGTCACTGAGAATATTGTATATGACTTCTTGTATGGAAATCTCTTTCTCAAAATTTTCTCGATACTCCTTAAAAAATAGTGAAAGGGGAAAATATAAATACAGAAGATCCCTAGAAAGCAATTTAATTTTTAATGCATTGCAGTTTCTCTGGATAGTATATCCTGATGTAAAATTTTAGAATTTGTTTATATTTGTATCGATACTAAGTAGAACAACTAAATCTCTCCTCCTTGAATATACCCATTTCTGAATTTGATCTCCTCACCCTCATTTACAGTAGATGAAAGAAGGAACAATTTTGAAGAACAAAATTAGGTTCAGGTTAAGTGATATGTAACACTTGCAGAGCCTGGCCAAATGATTTAGGAATCGACAGAGCAGGTGAAGAGTGGCTGTTCCACTGACTGGAAAACCCTCATCCCTACTGCAGAATGACTTGGCCTGGTAGGGCTCAAGGAAGCCAGGTGGTGCTTTTCCCCTTGCTGTGAACTTTGTCATAGCATAAGCCTTTTCACAGGGAGAGAAAGGACTTGGATCTTTGTATCTCCACCTACATCTTTTAGTAAAATTAACCCAAATTCCAAGACTCCAGAAATACTAACAGAGAAGAAAAAAATGGGAAAAGGAACTGAAAATTCTGGAGAAACAATAACAAGCATTTACTTTCAAATTTGTCCTAACAAGACATTTATTCTCTGGGGACTTTAATGTTCTCAGATCTAAATATTTAAATTGGTAGTCATTGAAATTAAATGTTGTGACAATTATTATTTTATTAAATGAAATCACTAAATTTATTCATCCATTCATTAAAATGACTGTTTTTCTAATTTGTGCTATATGGTATATGTAAATCCTACAAGGCATTATTCATCTGTAGGTCCAGCCTTTCTCCAGGGCTATTCACAAAACTCTGGGCACCATGGGGCACTTTTCCTTCAGTCAGAAGCAGCACTGTTTCCATTAATGCCTGTTTCTCTTCTCCCTTCTGACCTTGTAGGAATACTTACAGCAGTACGTGTGAAGGACCCCATTTACAGAAGACTCATCAGTTGTCTCATGATGTCTGACTCCAAAATATAAAAGCAAAACTTAGTTTAGCACTGTGTAGAAGATACTGACAAAGTAAACCTCACTTACTTTATATTTTTCACTGGTGATGTATCCACGGTCGTGAAGAATTTCAAGAAAAGGAAATGATGTCTTTATTGCATTTGAAATTTCCACCTTATACTTTTTGAAGAGCATGGCTGCATTGTTCTTAACACTATTCTGGGCTTCTGCAGACATCCTAGAGAGAAATGATACCATTTCATGATAAAATGGTCAGCAAGATTTTGATATGCTATAACATTTCATATATGAAAGAGAGGCTGGGAAGAACCAATCTATATGAAATAAGTGGTCATGAGTACAAATTAGGACAAATAGAATTGAGGCAATAGACAAAACTATAGTAAAGTGAAGCATGGTGGATTAAAAAGACATGGTACATTTACATGATGGGATACTACACAGCAGAAAGAAAGAAGGAGCTCCTATCCTTCACAACAGCATGGATGGATCTGGAGAGCATTATGTTCAGTGACATAAGCGAGGGGGTGAAAGAAAAATACCATATGATCTCACCTATAAGTGTAACCAAATCAACAAAATGAACAAGAAAGCAAATTATGACCAGAAACATTGAAATCAAGAACAAACTGACAGTAAATAGAAGGGGAGAAAGAGGGATAATGAGGGAAAACAGGGGAAGGATCGTCAAGGAACATGTATAAAAGACACATGGACAAAGCCAAAGCAGGTAGGATTGAAGGTGGGAGACAGGGATGGGTGGGGTGGGGTGAGTGGAGGAGGAAAAATGGAAATAACTGTACTTGAACAACAATTAAAGAGAGAGAGTGAGAGAAGAAAGACATACATTGTATTGAGAAGTTCCAGTCTATCATAAACAAAGTTATCGTAAAGTTATTTTGTTTGCATTCCTTTCTTTGTTTTCAAACAATAGTTTATTGGTTATGCTATTAAAATTGTCCTAATTTCCCCCTATTTCCCCCTTCTATCTAGCACCCCCCAATCCCTCAGGCAATTCCCCCACCATTGTTCATTTCAGTGGGTCATGCCTATAAGTTCTTTGGCTCCTAAGTTTTACCCATAAGTAAGTTTTTCAAATACAATTAAGGATACAGCCAAAATCAACCAGCAAAATAATCTCTGGGAACAAGTGTTGAGAGGAAAACATAACGAGTTTACAAAAGAAGACTGGCAATCACCACCTTAACCAAGGGACCAAGGTGTTCAGGGTGTTCTGGTCCAACATCCCTGGTGATAGGTCAGGCTGACATCTCCCCTGACAGAAGTGATGAGAAGACCACTGCTCCTCAGGGAATTCTTTCATGAAACACAAAATGCCAGTCTAAAAAGAATCAAGACCAGCAAAAATTGAGCCACGTTTTACAAAATGCCTGACTAGTACTTTTCAAACTCTCAGGGTCATGAAAAACAAGGAGAAACTGAGGAACAGTCACAGACCATAGAACTGGTGACAGGATGACTGAAGGCAACATGGTATCCTGGAGTCAATCCTGGAACTCAGCAAGGACTTTATCGGAAGAACCGTTAAAATTTTAAAAGTCTGCAGTTTCAGTAACACGGATGTAGCAATGTAGGTTTTTTTGTTTTGATCAATGTACCACAGCAGTGTAAGAGCATAACATCACAGGATGTGAAACTAGGTGTGAAGTGCACAGAAATTTCTAGAGTATCTTTGCAACTGCTCTATAAATGTAACATTATTTCCCCTAAAAGTTTATTTGGTTTGCAGGCTGGCACTCAGTCCACTGAGCCAGACCAGCCAGGGCCCCCTAAAAGTTTATTTAAATAATCTTTGGGAGTGAGAACAGCAGAAAATGTAGAAAACAGGGCCAGAAACACCTCGGACACTGAGAATATTAGATACACTTTTTAAAAATATGTGTGAGTTTCTATATTAAGAAAGAAAACATACAGCTAATATCAAGCATAACGGCCCAATGAGAAAAGCTTTCTCTTTGGACCTGGGCTCAAGATGCAGATGATTATTAGCATTACTTGTGCTCACCATAATCCTGGAAGTCCTGGCCAACACAATAAGCAAAGAAAATTAAATAAGTGTAAAGATTATAAAGAAACAAAATTGTCACTATGTGTACATTATGTAAATTTTTATATATTGCCGTATAAGTTAGTAAAATTAGAAAGTGGCAAAGATTTTTATTTTTTTAAGATTTTATTTATTTGTCTTTAGAGGGGAAGGGAAGGAGAAATGGAGAGAAATATCAATGTATGGTTGCCTCTCGTGTATCCCCCACTGGGAACTGGCCTGCAACCAAGGCATGTGCCCTGACTGGGAATCGAACCTTGATACTCTGGTTCACAGGCCCGCACTCAATCCACTGAGCTACACCAGCCAGGGCAGATTAATTTATTTTTCTATCTTAGAAGCAGGCAGCTAGAAAGTTGATTTTAAATTATGCAAATTTAAGGGCAAAAAGTATCTATGAATAAATGTACAGAATGAGTATGAAACGTCTAGAGACACTATTACAGTTGGACCATTTTCTTCCCTCTTAATTCCCCTCCACAGTGCACCCCCTTTCCACCTGCATTACCCACCCTATTTCCTTCATGCCCATGGGTCATACATATAAGTTCTTTGTCTTTTCCATTTTTTATACTATTCTTAATCCCCCCTTGCCTATTTTGTGCCTACCATTTATGCTTCTTATTCCCTGTACCTTTTCTCACATTCTTTCTCCCTGGTCATAACCCTCCATGTTATCTCCATTTCTGTAATTCTGTTCTTGTTCTACTTGTTTCCTTAGTTTGTTTTTGTTTTTTTAGGTTCCATTGTTGATAGCTGTGAATACGCTGTCATTTTACTGCTCATAGTTTTTGATCTTCTTCTTTTCCTCAGATAATTCCCTTCTACATTTCATATAGGGCTTGGTGATTATGAACTCCTTGAACTTGACCTTATCTGGGAAGCACTTTATCTACTCTTCCACTCTAAACAGTAACTTTGATAGAAAGAGTAATCTTGGATGTAGGTTCTTGCTTTTCATTACTTTGAATACTTCTTTCTAGCCCCTTCTTGCCTGTAAGGTTTCTTTTGAGAAATCAGCTGATAGTCTTATGGGCACACCTTTGCAAGTAACTCTTTCCTTTTCTCTTGCTGCTTTTAAGATTCTCTCCATCTCCTTCTCTTTAATCTGGGGTAATGTAATTATGATGTGCCTTGGTTTGTGCTTACTTGGCTCAGATTTCTTTGGGACTCTTTGAGCTTCCTGGATTTCCTGGGAGTCTATTTCCTTTGGTAATAGACTGTGGAAATTCTACTTCATTATTTGTTCAAATAAGTTTTTTATTTCTTGCTCTTCCTGTTTTTCTTCTGGCACCCCTATGATTCAGATGTTGGAATGTTTAAAGTTGTCCCATAGGTTTCTAAGCCTCTCCTCATTTTTTGAATTCTTGTTTCTTCATTCTGTTCTGGTCAAATGTTTATTTCTTCCTTCTGGTTCAAACTGCTGCTTTGAGTCCCAGTTTCCACCCCATCACTGTTAGTTCCCTGGGCATTTTCCTTTAATTCAATTTTCATAGCCTTCACTCCTTTCTCTATTTTGTGACAATATTCAACCATTTCTGTGAGCACCTTGATTACCAGTGTTTTGACTGTGCATATGACATATTGGCTATCACTTCATCATGTACTTATATTTTTTCTAGAGCTTTGATCTGTTCTTTTATTTGGGACATTTCTTTACATTTGCATGCCTGTTACTTAGTAAGGGGTGGAGCCTTAGTTATTCACCAGGGCAGGGCAACCCACATTTCTGCATTTTAGTGCAATATGGGGGTGGGGTCTGAAAAAGAACAATGTGACTTGCTGGGCTCTTAAATGGCTTTTAGTCATTTGTTCCACTACCCACAAGCAAATTAGACCCTTCTGGTGCTGATTCCCAGGTGGGTAAATTTGTGTATGTTCTAAGACCCTGTGGATCTCTCCAACAAACTTTCCTGTGATGTGGGAGCTTCCCATGCTGCCACAAACCCCACAGCTTTTTTCTTTCAGTGGTTTTGATGCTTCATTTCTCCACAATGGAACCCTGAGTTGCCTGATCTGTCTCACTCCTTCATTGTTCCTCCCAGTTTATTTGCACAGAAATGTGGGACCACCTGCTCTGCCAGCCACCACCTCACCTGGTCCACAAGATGCCACCTTATTCTTCATGGTCCTCTAGCCACTGACTTGCCACAAGTACTCTCTGCCCCAGCTGCCCATCTCCTCCCCTCCTACCAGTGTGGTTGAATGCATCCTCTTTAACTCCTTGGTCGTCTAAATTCTGTACAGTTCAATTTACTGGCAGTTCTGCATGTTTTTCTTTTTAAATTTTTTTTTGTGCTTCTTTTGGTTGTGGGAGGAGACACAGTGTTATCTACCTACACTTCCATCTTGGCTGGAAGTCTCTATAGGATATTTTTTCAAACTATGCATATACCATACTAATAAGATAGAAAACTCCATATCATAACAATGCCAATTCTCGTCCACTTGATTCACTAATTCATTATAATCCTAATATAAATCCCAACAAGATTTTGACAAGCTGGTTTGGACATGCAAAAGGACAGGGTACTTTGTAAAGGGAAAGAGAATGGGAAGATGCACTCTGCCAGATGTCAAAGTTCATATGAAGCTGCTGTCACTATGACAGTCATTGTGGCACTAAGAGAGGCTCTTATAGGCCAATGGCAGGGGAGAGAGAGCGCAGAGCAGACCCGGCACATGTGGCCCCTGGGTAATGAAAAGGGCAGCAGAGCAGAGGGCAACAGGATGGATAACCAAATATGGCACCTCAGAAAAACTGACAAGAAAAACGATAAGTCCTTCAAACTGTATATTAGATGCTAAGAAATTCAGTCTCAGATAAGGCAGAAAATATTTTAAAAGATTAATCCAGATGAGGATGGTAGAAATGTCAAGAATGAGTGAGGAAGGCTGCACAACCATGGCAGGCAGGAGAGAAAGAAAGTGAAGGAACATAGACACCAACCTGCAGACAGAGTTCACTTTCAGGAAAATCCCAGGAGCCGAGGAAGAAATCCAAAAACACTTAATGTCACACAAACACCTACATAAATAAAGCAACAGTGTGCAGATGGCCTGATTTATAGTAACAAAACGTGGTTTAAAGTTGAGTTTGCAGAGCTATGGAAGAAAATTAAGACCACACTCAAAAATGAACAGAATTAATTATTTCAAATTAGAAATGACAAGAAACCAAAAAAAGAGCTAATATGAAAATAATTGTCACAGAGGTAACATTTGGGAGAACCATTCTGAACACAAAGTAAAATACTAAAGGAATAAAAGTTTTGGGGCCATAAACAAAGTTAAAGACAAGAAAAGTATATGTATAAAATTCAAACTAAGCAGCAAACTCTTCCTTGTCATTAAAGGAAGGACAATCACCTCAACTAATAGCAGTGGCCCAAAATAAACCAACAATTCAGAGAAAAACCAATTTAAATGGACAACAGACAGGAAAATCCATTCAACCTCCCATGTAATCAGATAATACAAATTAACAGGCTGTGTTCCTTTATCCAGCTCCTTTGTGAAGTCTGGGTGTGGACAGATGGCTCATCAGCCAATGGTAGGAGAATAGAGATTCAGCCTTTGGGGGAAAAAAGGCTACTTAGCAAGATCCTCAGGATAAACAAGTGAGTGTTATTACCCTCAACAATTTCACATTTCTGTTTTTGAAAGTAGACAAATACTTGGGTACACACAGAAACATAAAGAAATATAAAACTGTATTTCAGAATTTGTTGGTATAAGAATTATGGTATGTGGATTCCATGCAGTAGTTTGTGGCCATTAGGAAGAATGAAAAGGATCCTCCTGATGATTGACAGGAAAGGATTTCTAGCTTTTTTCTTGCCAAATGTGTAAACCTCTCCAGGGCAGGAAATGAAAGTACAAATGGAACACTCAGCCTGCACTGGTCTTTGGTATTTTAGTTTTTTCTCTTCTTTTGACTCCCTTATCAAGATCCCTGGAGAAAGAACCAGACCCCCAGCCTGAGACCAGAATAGGCCCAGAGCTGACCAAACACAGGTCAGGTGGGAGACCAAGGCACCCAGACTTAAAAGTTGGATGTTTGGCCTGAATTTACATTTTCTAAAGTACCTTCTTTGAAATGACCTAGGTGAAAGTAGAGGAGGCCTGAGGGAAAAGAGAGGGCACAGAGGTCATGAGAAAATAACAAATCACTGCCTCAAAACCTCAGGAAGCACAACCCAGTCAAATGGCTCCACAGCAGAGCAGTAGGTGTAAGACAAGAGTCCTGTGGGCTGTGGCAGCTGCTCTCACACAGCAGCTGTCCCTCTGTAGTTTAAAGACCTGCTTCTCTCACTACATATTCCTGCATTTCCCTACACTGCACATGAGGCTTCTTGTAAACAGAGGTAAGATCAAGGTTTAGAGGACTGTCTCTAATAAATAGCAGGCAGTGAAGCAGCAGCGCTGCCAGAAAGTTAAACTGACCTGGTGTTGAAGTGGCTGCCCTCAGTGGCCATTGTCCTGCCCTTGGCCCTTGCAGAACCTCTCACGCCTCTGGTGTCCTCTGCCTGGTTTCAGTGAGACTGCTCAGCTCTGAGCAGAAAATGTGTAACAGACTCACCCTGAGTGCTCTCCACCCAAATGGGGAAAAGAGAAGTGAAACTAACTACTGTGTGCTGCCCTTTCTGCCTTTCCCTTCTATACCCCATAGAGGTCCTCAGCCATCAAAATATGTGGCAGCAGGAATGCAGGACAAGGAGGGACAGCCAGGCTGTGGAAGGTCAAAGTGATGGTCTGCCACAGGGTGCAGAACCAGTCCTCTGTAGTCCCCTTGTGTGTGCAAAGACACAAAAAACATCCTGCGAACTCACTGTCCCCAACTGCACCAAACTGCTAAGAGGGTGCAGGGCTTCCATGTGCTGGGAATGAACCTGTGTTGCCCCTCATCCATGTGGAGACGGCTGTCCAGAGAGAGGGAAAGACAGAAACTTCAGATCTTCACTCAGGCCCTTGGAGAGGCTGGAGCCAAGTGAGCTGGCCCCAGTGTTTGGACAGAGGGCTGGAGAAGCACCATCCTGAGAGCAATGGTTTCCACATTTGGTCCCTGAGTCTGACTTCCTCTGGATGAAACTCTAGGTTCTGGCCCAGTTGAATTTAAGATACAGGAAAGGTTCTACCCTCTCTCCATGAACATTATTTCTTCCCCACTAAGGAGTGAATATGGATCACATTGGGACAAATTCCAGGACACTGAGGAGGATTTCTGAACCAGTGGGCAGGGTCTCAGGTGCTGCACACACAGGAACCCCCCCACCTTCCAGACTGGTAAGCAGAGCCTCTGGAGGACACAGCTGCCCTGTGCTCCCAACATGCATGGGACTCGTGGCCCAGACACAGTCTGACAGAGATGACTCCTGCCTTTCCAGTGTCCCTCCTCTCTCTCTCCTCTGTCCCCAGGCAGCAGGAAGACTAGGCCAGCACCACACTGGGTGTTGGCATAAATGTGCCAGCTTTTCCCTGAGTCTGCTTAGAGTCACCAAATCACCACGTGAATGAGAGGCAGATAGCAGTTGGTTGGGTGGGAAATAGTCATGAGTGTCTTTTTGGCGATATAGTCTTTCCTGTAAGGCAGCCAGGCAACTGCTCGGTTAGCTGCCTGCTGAGCAGCCTGGCACCAAGGAGTAGACAAGAGCCACGCACAGTAACTACGCTATGCATTCAACTTTTATTGAGTGCAGGTTCACTCAAAGTAGACCCTCAGCATACGTTAGTATCCTACTCAGATGCTAACAGTCTAAGAGGAATATAACACACACACATGGCAATCAATGGGAGATAATAAACTCGAGTCCCAGAGTCTCAGTCTGCAGGTAGGAGAGACAGCACAGTAGGCCAGGGGGTTGCCATTGTCTAGAAAGGAAGGATCTCAGGAGTCAGGTGGGCAGCAGGGCCAGCTAAGTCCTCAGTCCATCAGGGCAGAGCCTTTGGTGGCTGTTGCTGAGAGAGAACAGCGTGGTGGGGAGCTGCACTCTGGTGTGTGGAAATCGGCTATCTCAGCTGTGGTCTGGAGCCTGCCTCAGTTCCACCTTGAGAGTGGTGCACTCCACCCTTCTGGGTACTTTCCATAAATGTCTTGGCACCCCTAATGCCAAATGTGGAATCTCCCCTGGATCCTGGCTATGGGTAGTCCCATTCCACTGACACAGCTCCTCTGACTATGTGTGCAGATGTCATAAGTGTGTCCTTGCCACACATTTCTGCTCTGACCACAAGGGCAGACCTGTCTCCTTGCCATAAGCATTTCCTCTGACTTAGGAAATTTTCCTCTGGAACCAAAGTGTGGTGACTGACTGATAGCCATTTTAGTTGACATAAGTGACTCCATTTTGTTTTATATACTTTCTGCTTTCTATATTCTCTGTGCTTTGTTATACTTTATATACTTTGCTGTATATGCTTTATGGTCCTAACTGCACCAATGCCATTTTACTCGTCCTGCTCTCCACAGAAATCCACAGCTGCCTGCCTCCTGGGTGGCCACTCTAACACTGGGGCTGCCCTGGCTCAAAGAAAGGAGTCCCTTTCCTGGCACCAGAGAAAGTGGGGCACACACCCCACTCAGTGAACAGCAGTGTATTCTATAGGATCAGGAGTCCCCTGTGGAGAAGCAAACATTTTTGATCCAGGAAACAAGGTCACAGCCACCCGGGTTAGGAACTGAAAAAGACCATCTTCAGAACCAAGTTGGACTCGCTAACAGTCCTGCTTGGCTGACTTGAAGGAGAGAAGGAAGTGGCTGGGGCATTTTCCATGGTGGCAAAGAGCAATGACACATGGACAATTCCGGTTTCCAAGGAAGTTGCCTAAGCTATGTGGCCTGGAAACCTGGAAAGCAGGAGAGGCAGCAAAGGAGGGCCACGGGACAGAGAATGTAGTGATGGGATGGGCTTCTCTTGTTCACCAGGGGCAGCATCTAAACAGACATCAAAAATGGGCTGAGTCTCCAGCCTGGGAGACCCTGTGGAGACAGGGGCTTGTCCCTGAGATGTGGCAGGGAGTCCAGAACTGAGGATTAACAGGCAGGAGGAAGAAAGCAGCAGCAACAGCAGTCACTGGGCTGACGATGGAGACCAAAGGCACCTCTGTGGATGCAGGAAAATACAGAGTGGCACCTTGACCTCAGAAGGAACACTGAGGCCTCACACCAGTGTCCTCTTCTAGGAGGTGGCCTATCAACCAGCAGGACTGCTGAGCCCCCTGCCCTCCCTTCTTCCTGGGGAGACTCTCAGGCTGGGAGTTCTGTGAAAGGTAGGTCTCCTTGAGCTCATCCTGCTGGAGAGGCCTGGGTTTCCTGTTCCTCCAAGCTCAAGTGCACAAGGACAGTGGTCTGTGGGTTGTGTGAGGGGTGGAGAGTGGTAGATTGGAGCAGCTGGGCCTGTGAATAAATCCAATGCTAGGGTACAGGTTTAGGGATTCTTTTTGGCACACATCTAAGCCATGTCCCTGGATCCAGCTTTTATCAGGAAGAATGCTGGTATTTTTACTTCCATCTGTGTCACCTTCTGCCTGTCAGTTGTCTCAGAACTCATGTCAGGATACTTGGGGAGAGTTTATTCACAAAATTTGAGTTTTTTCTGTGACTTTCTTTCTTCAGGGTTTCCCACCTTTACCCCAGAGTATGATTGCTATGGTTTCTTCCTGGCTCTGCTGAACACACACAGATTGTGGCTTCTCTCAGAGTCAGCTGTCAGTAAACAGGAAACATCTCATGCTGCCTGCTTCCTTGGTGCTCTTTGCCTCCAGACTCACCCCACTTTTGTTCACTTTGCAGAAGTCTCAGACAGTCGTTCTCTGAACATCATCCAGAATTTCTAGATGTTTTCTGTAAGCAACAGGCTGGGTAGTAACTCACTTCTATGGATCAGAAGTAAAACTCTCCATCCCTGCTCATAAACTGTGGACCAGCACTGTCCACTCCAAGGCCCAGCCTTGTTCTGGTTTCTGCAGACCCAGTGGGTCCAGTGCCCCTGAACTCCCTGCCCATGAAGGAAGAGAGATGCTGCTGTGCAGAGAATCAGAGGCACGTATTTATTAGTAGAAGAAACACAGCCAGGCTAGATACACTTTGTATTTCCGTGCTCACTGATGCAAAAAAACACACGCATACTTAGAGGGGTGGCCTTGTTTCACAAGCAAAAGAACACAGCAAATAATATGCCTGGAGGAAAACCATGGCTTATCCTAGAATTTCAGTTGGAGGTAATCCTTACAAACCAGCTATACAGAAGAGGATATAAGTTGTTGCTGAAAAGCTTAAGAATTTTTTCCATCTTAACGAAGGAGGTTGAATTATAGTTGTTGAATCTGGTTTTTGCTTCAAGGACCTATTCACACACCATCTCTTTCCAAGGGATTTGAGTCACAGCCTCTCTCTCCCCCTTTTCTGCTCTAAATCCCCTGTGTGTGTAACAAAGGAAGAAAGACCAGCCAACTATGTGTAGTGGAGAGTTCAAGTCCTGTTTTTTTTTAAATTTTACACTGTTAATTACATTCCTGTTATTTTAGCCTAAAGAATGCCCTTTAGCATTTATTTCTTAATATAATATTTATTTTACTTAAACTTTTGATTTACTAAATTGAGAAAGAGAGCATGAAAGACAGAAATTTGTATATTGTCCTATCTATCTATCTATCTATCTATCTATCTATCTATCTATCTATGCATTGGTTGGTTCTCCTATGTGCCCTGACTGGGGGGTTGAACCTGCAATGCTGATGTGTTGGGACGATGCTAAAATGAATTGATCTGCTATGCAGTTCTACTGCATGGTAGCTCAATTCAAGCTCAATTCAGTTCTAGAAGTTAAATACCCTCAGCTTCCATTTGCTTAGATAAGTCTGTTTCTCTTTTAATTCTATAGAAGAGCTTTGCTGAGTACTAATCTTCAGTAGCAGTTCTCTGATTTCAATATTTTCAATATGTCAATCACTTTCTAATGACTTGCAAAGTATCTGTTCAAAAATTGCTTGTAATCTTATGTTTTATGTGAGGGTTCTGTTTTATGTGGCAAGTCATTATTCTCTTGCTACTTTCAAAACTCTCTTTTTGTCTTTGAATTTGACGATTTAGTTATAAAGTTTGTCAGTATAGTCTTTTAAAGGGTAGGGCAGGGGAGGGTAATGAAGAAAATGGGAGCAACTGTAATTGAACAACAATTTTTAAAATTTCAACATTTGAAAAAAATAAAGTTCAACCTATGTGGGCTTTTGACTATAGAAATATAAATGACCATTTCTCTCCCCAAATTAGAAAGCTATTAATCATTAGTGCTTTAAATAGACTTTTTGTTCCTTTCTTTTTCATTTTGCCTTCTAGGAGTACCATGATGCATATATATTTCCCTTGAAAATGTTTCCTAAGTCCTGTGGGTGTTCTTCACTCTTTTTCATTCTCCTTTGCTCCCCTGACTGGATTATTTCAAATAACCTATCTTCTAGCTCATGGATTCTTTCTTCTGCTTAACTGAGTTGATGTTGATGCCTTCTATTCCATTCTTCAGTGTAGTCATTGTCTGCTCTGGAACTAAGGTGTCTCTTTATCTTTTTGATAGTTTATTTTTCTTTGTTTAACTTCTATTTTTTTTCATG